CTCAGCATTAGCATCAACCTCAGGATTGGCATCAACCTTAGGATTAGCATGAACCTAAGGATTATCATCAACCTCAGGATTATCATGAACCTTAGCATTATTATCACCTTCTAGATTATCAACAGCTTTTGGATTATCAACAGCTTCTGGATTATGAACAGCTTCAGCAGTATGAACAACTACTAGATTTTCATCAGGCAAAATCATAGCTAATGGCAAAAAAATGACCTGACTCTGTTCTGTGCTAACAACAGACTGAGTATCACCAGATGCATTGGCATTACAAACTTGAGACTGTAATAAACGAGGACCAGTGTCAATAACCTCTACAGTCAGTGGCACCCTTCTATTGTCCCAATACACATGAAATGCATGTAGTAGAGCAGAATCAGAACCTATGCGCACTGTCTCATCCTTGGTTTTGTCAAAGAAAGTAACCTCCAGTGCTTGATCTTTACCATGAACTATGTCCTCAGCAAGGCAATCATAAAAACCCATCCAACTGAAGATATCCTTGTCCACCACACGCATGAAGTTAGCAGTTACATGATAATCATCGAGCCCATCTGGTCTTTGCTCTACATAGGCAGGTACTCTAATTGTCAATCTACAAAGCGGACATCAGATCCATCCTAATTCAAAAAAAGACCACATCCAAACTAAACAATTTCAAACCACAACCTTTCTAATGCATCCATAGTCATACAAATCGAAAGAGTACGGGTTCAAGAAATCTCACCCTTTTGGAATCCATTTCGGCACCCTAGGCGGACAACCAGTGCACTGCGCGTTCTTCCTATTGGGGGACTTCATCTTCGGGTCGCGGGGGTGCTGCAGATCCTCGGCCCCCATGGTGGATGATGGTCGAGGCTATAGGTGTCAGCGACAGTCACTGGAGTGGACGGCGTCGCGATGGGCACCGGAGTGGAGTGGACGGCGTCGCGGCGGGCACCGTAGTGGAGTGGGTGGCGGTGGGAGTGGGATTGGGGAAAGTGATGGCCGCTAAAACCCTAACACGCAGGACGGGCCGGTTAACCAGACCAGGCTCGGGTCGGTTATTAGCTGGTCCAACCAGACCCAAACGTGGCTCAGGAGCACCGGATGTCCAAACTGAATTTTTCTCTCTCCTCAACCGGTGGAAACCGGCCCTGCGGTGTCCTCTGGCATAATTACAACAAACCAGAGTGTCTTCTAGCATATAGCTCCACTTTGGGTGTCCGCCAGCAAATGACCACCACTGTGGGTGTCCGCCAGCCAATTTCCCCTTAAAAATATTGCATTTCTTAGTAAATGGCTTTTCAATTGGCTTACAACAAATGGGACCTGGCAACAATTAATTCCAAAAAAGTATTTAGCCTTCTCCAACAGTATCTAAAAAAATATTCCTCAAAAACAGGTTTTATAACCTTTGCAAAATATATTGGAAGAGATAAAAAGCTACAACTCCAATTGTTTTTAAAATCTCGCACGTAAAAGATAGGAGGTAATTTTACATCAGGAATCCGAAAATATTTCTAAACCACACTAATCACTTTTATACTTTATTTCTCTCTTGTACATTTGCATCATGAACCCTGTCCCTCTTTTTTTTTCTTCCCCACATCCTTCCACCTCTAGATTGGGGCGACAATACGCGCGTGTAACTTTATGCGCGTGGGATGGTTTTTTCCAAGTAGCAAAAGATTAAGAGGTGGATTTGGGAGTTGTTGGAGATGAGTTTCTTTCAATGTTGCCAAAATTCCTGGATTGGGGGACTCTTTTAGGTACTCTTGGAGATGCTCTAAGCCCCTATCTCGAATGTATTGGAAAAGTGGGGACTCTATTTCTGTGATAATTATTCTATTAGGACGTCCGTCCTAGACTCACGCGCTGGACGCATCTCATTCCGATCCTGTGACCCCTTCCCCCCGCCCCCTGCTCCTCAGCGCCCACTCCGCTCCGTAGTCTCCTTCGCGCCGTGAACCCCCGCTCCCTCCGCTCCCCCGCGCCCACTCTCCTCCCACTATGGGCCTGCTTGCGCCCCTGAGACAAACGTCGCGCGCCAGCTCGCTGTGGTCCCGCACGCCTGCGCTCCCTCCCTCTCTCCCTCCCTTCCCCCACCGGAGACGAGGACGACCGCGGCGGCTCCGACGAGGTAGGTCGTCGGATCTGAGCGCTCCTCCTCCTTTGGATCTAGATCTGAGGGATGCGGCGGTGGCTAGGGTTCCGGCGAGCTCTATTGCAGTAGGCTTGTTTTGTTGTTGCAATAAGTAACATTTCTTTGTTGCATTAGTCTTTTTTTCTCATGTTGCATCTCACATTGCTTTTTGTTTCTGTTGTTACAGTAGCCTTATTTTGCTGTTGCAACAAGTAATATTTCTTTGTTGCATTAGCCCCTTTTTCTGATGTTGCATCTCCCATTGCGCTTTTCGTTTCTGTTGTTGCAACAATTAATTTTTCTTTGTTGCATTCGTCTTTTTTTATGTTGCTTTCTCGCATTGCACTTTGTTTCTGTGTTGTTGCATGTAGTAGCCTCGTTATGGTGTTGCAACAAGTAATATTTCTTTGTTGCATTAGTTTCTTTTTTCTGATCTTGCATCTCGCATTGCTGTAGCTTTGTTCTGTTGTTGCAGTCGCTTTGTTCTGATGTTGCAGTAGACTTGTTTTGACATTGCATCTCGCATTGCGCTTTGTTTGATGTTGCAAACAAGTAATACTTGTGATGGGAGCGTGGTGAGGATGCGACACACCTAGCGAGCGCGGCGGGGGGATGGGCGGTGCGACGGAATGGGGGGACAGGCGGCGCGGTGGGATGGCGGCGCGACAGGAGGTCGGGCCCCGCACGAGCGTGGGACGGGCCGGCGCGACTGGCGAATCTACTGTTCCGCATGGGGAGCATTCCGTGCGGGGGGGAGGGGGGCATTCCAATGCGGGGGAGGGGGCGGCGTGGTTTTTGCATGGGGGGGGACACTCGGACGGGCCCGAGGTGCGTCCGGACACGCCCCTAAATCTGGGCGTCCGAGCGCTAGGAGCGCTAGTTTTATGAAGGTGAAACTGGATTTTCTCCGTTTTGGATCCTTCACAATCAAAGATGGTCCCAAGTGAGATTTTGGGAGGATAAGTTGAAACTCACCTCTGAAGGAACAATATCTTTGCTTATATAGCATCGCTAGACATAAGCAAGATATTGTAGCTAAGATTTTTCAGTACATGACCTCTAAACATTTCATGGAGGCGTGATTTAATCGGACATAAATTAGTGGCCTAGAATGAACTTCCTCCTCGCATTATTGATATTAGACTTAAACAAGAGAATGATGTGTTTTGCTAGCACTTGGACCCAAAGGGGTAGTTTTCCGTGAAATCACATTATTCAGCTCTAATTCACATAGAGGTTCCTCAAAATTATTTGGAGGTTAAAGGCTCCACTAAAAAAAGGGCGTACCCAGTGCAGAGAGCTCCCGCACTGTGCGGGAACTGGGGAAGGGTGTCAGTGGCAAGCCTTACCCTCACCTGTGCAATGCGATGAGACCGCGACTCGAACCCGGGACCTTCCGGTCACAGACGGTAAGACTCTACCGCTTGCACCAGGCCCGCCCTTCTAAAGGCTCCACTAAAGATCAAAAAAAATCTTTGATATCTTTACAGAGGAGTGATTTTAATAAAAGATAATTTAGCCAAACGCAATTGGCAAGATAGTGAAAAGTGTCGCTTGTGTCACAAAAATGAGACAATTAAGCATATGTTCTTTGAATGTCATTTTACCCGTAAGGTTTGGACCTGCATTCATGTTGCTTTAAGCCTTCCTTGTAGTATCTCTCATATATCTAGGAGTTGGCTTCGGGGGTTTGGGAGGGAGTGAAAACATATTAGTTCTGTTAGGGGTGATAGCTACTTGTTGATCGCTTTGGTTATGCAGAAATGGTTTGGTGTTTGAAAAGAAACATGTTTATTCTCCTTTTCAAGTGGTACGACATTCGGTTATCCATTGGCTCCTCACTTAGCTTATCCTCCATAAGCTTACTCCGCGGGCTTTGATTGCAGCGGCATCATGCAAGCGGTCATTGTGTTCTTCTCCCGAGCCCATGGATGACGATTTAGTCTTATGATTGATAGTTATTAGAGTGCTAGACTCCTTTATCTTTGTTTAGGTTGTGTGCTTTTATGCAGAGGTCATAAGTGGATTCACGATTATTGTATCAACTCGATGTAATGATTGTGAATTAATAAAATCCTTTCTTTATAAAAAAAAGGGTATCGACCTCTTTTGCTCAAGGTTGATCTGATAGTTTCTTGTCAAGGCAGCTTCTTTTGGTAAATATATAGGTCAATTGTTGCTTATATGATGTAAAGGTGATCCTGGTGGATGGGAATGATATGATCGTTTGGTCTTTGATGTACAGTTTCCTTCTGTTGGTTGGGTATACTACTTTGATCTATGTGGTGCAACTTAATATATGTAGTGCTTGATATATTGGACCTATGTGTGAACATTTTTCTTTGTGTTGCAGCATAATATATGAGCTGCTTGATATATTTGACCAATGTATGAACTATGGTGAATGTTCTGTAGTTCACTACATAAGCTTTATTGTCCAAAATTTATATCAGATTTTGAGTTATCAGAATCATATTTTGAGATGTCAGATACTGAGTTTGATGGTCTAGATTTTAGATGTTTCAGATGAAAGGCTGTTTTGATACCGGTTTACAGAAGTTGATGTTTTTCTTACGAGGGATGTATGTTTAAATTATGTGTTGGATGTGGATCCTGTGGTTATGACAATCGAGCGTTTCATGCATCAGAAACACTAGATTTTGTAATCTGGCCAGATTCAAGTGTTTTCTGGTCATCCGGCACTCGAGTGCTACATGCTTCCAAAACAGGAGTAGATAGGTTCCATTATTGTCCTAGACCGGAATGCTATGAATCGAAACATCATCTAACGAAAACACTCCTAACTCGGCATGCATGGTGCATCATGATGCATGCATCTGCTTCCGTTGCACATTCTACAGTCCTACAGAGCACGCGCCGCTGGTGGCTGGTCGGCGCACTTCAGGCAGAGGCACTCGCCCTTGTTACATTCCCCGCCGGCGAAGCCATGGCCGACCGCTACGCACTCATCGCGGCAGTACCGGAGGCCGCGGCTTCCACGGCAGGCGTTGGGGTCCGGCGCCGGGTACTCCAGGCACCAGGCTTCCACACCAGCATCTGCTCCATCAAAGATTTGTATTTTTTTAAATGACAAATGTTTGACGCTTGTGAAACATAAAGTCGCGCACTCGTGATTGCTATATATCTAGAAGGCTACAGTGCGAGCTTACCATGAGATAGGAAGGCTACTGCCAGCAGTAGCAGGGCAGATGCAACGAGGGCTGTGGCCTTGCGAGCTATATGGCTTCAGCTTGGGATTCGGTCGGGACACTTATGCACCGAGCTAATCAGTCAGAACCAGTCCTATTTTTTCAGCCATGGAACATTATTTTTCTCTCACAACAAATTAGTCCTACAAATCAGTCACAGTAGCAATAAATCCTGCCGAACAGGGCCCTGAATTGGAGTTGTACAGTGGCAGTGACAGTGAGTGCAGTAGTGTGGATTTATTGGATACTGAATATACAGGATTGGGATGGATCTCTGCCGAGAGTGGCTGCGCGCTTTAATGCAAACGGAGGGATAGCCGAGGATTAACTAGACCACATAGAAGAAGGCCTAAAACTGGCACGGTATTGATTAAGAATAATGTCCTCCTAATTTTGTTAGACAGTAAAATAGAAGCATTTCTTGGCTTCTAAGATACAATGTCTATCTAAGGATGGTTAAGGTTAGATTGATTGCTAATGAAGAATAACTAAGGCCCTGTTTGGTTCTATTAGCCACTAATAATTAGCTAACTAATAGCTCATAGCTGTTAATAGATAGCTAACTATTAGTTAGCTGTTAGCTGGTTTGACCCAACTAGCTAGTCAAATAGGAGTAGTTGTTAGTTGGTATTCAACTAACAATTAGCTACACTATTAGTTGGCCCTGTTTAGATCGAAAGAAGATAATTATTAGCAGCTAAGAGCAATTCTAGTAATAGCCCTCAAAATAGGACTCCTACTTTTTATTTAAGGGCTCCTACTTTTGAGTACACTATTTTCTAGACTGAACTCTAGCAAGGGATCTCAAAATAGAGCCCCTACTTCTCAATTCCCTCTATTTTCTCACGCACTATATGCATATGTATTTGAGAACACCACACTATATAATAATTTAATTAAACTATAACTCTAAAGTATCATATTTAAAAATATGAATGAAAATCCAGATATTCAAATTTAAATTCAAACACAAATTTGGTTAGAATTTGATGACATTTGATCACAACATAGCACATAACATCTTTGCAAATCAAATGACATAATCATCAAACGTAAAGTACAAAAATACAACTAAACAACTAACTTGCGCCATTGACGTGCCCACCAAAACATAACATGCATATCACAATGAAACATCTATCAAATTCAGCCTCCGCCACTCACCACTAGCTTCATGTCCTCCACTGCTACCACCAAAAGCATTGTTGAAGGCAGCCTTCTTTTCAGCTGCAATTTGAGCCCTCATTACTATCAAATATGTCTTCTGGGAGGGCTCCAATGTGTCGAGGTCACAAAACATAATCTTTTGTTCTTGCTCCCATAGCATCTTCTTCTTCTCATTTGCAACCTTGCGCTCTTCAAGTGATAACTTGCGCTCTTCCATCATCTTGTTCTCCTGCCACCTATACTCTCTAATTTTCTCTTTTTCTGTAAGCAATTTTTCTAGCAACCCTTTATAGTTCGTTTGTTGCACCCCCCCCCCTTTCTTCATCTTCTCTGTTTGCTTCCTTTCCATAGGCCTTTTACCATTAGGCATGGATTGACTCTTTCTACTCTCATCATCTTCTAAATCAAGCACATCTATTGTTGGTGGTGACTTGCTTCCCCTAGGCCTCTTGTTGGTGGTAGGGGGCGTGAACTTCTGGGAATGTCTAATCTTCAACCAACAATGAAGGAAAGAAAACCCCTTCTTCTTTGGATCATTGTTTGCATATGCATTCTGAGCCTCTAACAACTGAAATTGAAGACATGTGTCAGTACAAATTCTTAATAAAATGATTCAATATCATAATGAAAACAATTCTTACATGTTCCTCATATGGCACTCCACTAGGACGACGACGCTCAACCTCCTCAAATAAGCCTTGAAACTTCTGACACTCCTTGTGAATTATTCCCCACCTATGCTCTAGAGAATTTTCATTCCTATTAGATGCAAATGTTTTGTTGGCATGAAAGTTATCATGAATTCACTTCCAATATGCCTTGCTAGGTTGCTCATTTCCAGTGATAGGATGCAAACTTATGTTCTCCCATGATCTACACAATTGGAGATCTTCCTCCTGAGAGTAGTTGGCAGTATGGATTTGCTTCCTCTTTGGTGCACTAGGTTGAGTACCATTTGGTTGAGTAGCATTTGTTTCAGTACCAATTGGTAAAATTGCAATGTCATCAACCTCAGTGTCCTCGGACATCACCAATGACCAATTATCTCCCTGCGACATGTATCAAACTGTGCAAAAGAAAAAACAACACATATAATTGAGCTAGTCGAGTCCTTAACAGCAGCCGGCAAGGGAACCAAAATATATACAGCTAACTGAAGTTTGACGATATACAGCTAACTGAACTTTGGCGATATAATGCTAACTGAAGTTTGATGACACAAGACGGCACCGTACTACTACTACAGCATGAATTTAAGATGCACTACCTCCATTGATCGGAGACAGTAGGAACTAGTAACTAATAATGGATAAAAAGAACAGAGAGACAGCAACGTAAAGAGCTTTGATGGCCTGCACGTGTGTAAAATTTTTCTTATTGCCATGATGGAAGTAGCGCTGTGATGAGTAATCTGTCATGACCCGGGCATGTGCTGGGCCTCGGCATGCTCATGGGCCTTGGCCAGTAGGTGTGCGTGTGTGGCCGTCGGCAGATATATGCTCATGGGCCTCAACATTCTCTACGTCGACATCCTCGACGCCATGCGCATCCCCCGGTCGGAGCTCCGCCCAGTGAACTCTCCCTTCCACGGCGTGATCCCAGGACACAGGTGTACCCACTCAGCAGATCGACCTGTCCGTCACGTTTGGCGATCGAGCCAACTTCCGCTCGGAGGTCCTCACCTTCGAGGTGGTGGACTTTCCAGGGTCCTACCACGCTATCTTGGAGCGGCCATGCTATGCCAAGTTCATGGCGATCCATAACTACACCTACCTCAAGTTGAAGATGCCGGGACCGAACGGCGTCATCACCGTGGGTAGCACCTTTTCGCACGCCTACACCGTGAGCATTACGAGCTCGCCACGGCCATCATCAACTCCGCCGAGTTCCCGGAGCTCGGGAATTCGTCGACTCCAGCAGCCCAGACTGCAACGAGCCGACCTCCTCGAGTGCCTTCTACCCGACCAAGGAAACCAAGCGGTGGAAATCGACCCCACCGACCCGACAAAGATGGTACGGATCGGGACCAAGCTCCCGGCCAAATAGGAAATCGAGCTCGCCGACTTTCTACGCGCCAATCATGATGTCTTGGCGTGGAAACCTTCTGACATGCTGGGCATACCAAGGGAGGTCGCTGAGCATGCATTACGCCTCGTCCCGGGCTCGAAGCCCGCCAAGCAACGCTTGCGTCGCTTTGACGACGAGAGGCGCAGGGCCATAGGCGAGGAGATCGCCAAACTCCTAGCAGTCGGGTTCATCAAAGAGGTATACCACTCCGACTGGCTAGCTAATCCTGTTCTTATGAAAAAGAAGACCAGGAAATAGAGAATATGTGTTGATTATACTGGCCTCAACTAGGCGTGTCCAAAGGACCATTTTCCTCTGCCATGCATAGACCAGATAGTCGACTCATGATGCGAAATCCTCTCCTTTCTGGACGTCTACTCAGGCTACCACCAGATCACGATGAAAGAGTCTGACCAGCTCGCGACTTCATTCATCACCCCGTATGATTCGTACTGCTACGTAACCATGCCTTTCAGTCTGAAGAACGCCGGCGCCACCTATCAAAGGTGCATATAGCGATGCTTCGAAGACCAAATCAACCCACCCGACCAGCCTAACCAAGTCGAGCAGCCAAAACCAACAATCACCGTCTATGTAGATGACGTAGTGGTGAAAACGGCTCAAGCTAGCGACCTGATCGCAAATTTGGCCGCAACATTCGCAAACCTCCGATGGTTCAATATCAAATTGAATCCCAAAAAATGTGTTTTCGGAGTTCCAAAGGGAAAGCTCCTTGGATACATCGTGTCTAAGCGCGGCATCGAAGCCAACTCCGAAAAAATCACGGCCATCTCCAACATGGGCCCTATACGCAACGTTAAGGGCGTACAGAGGCTCACCGGCTATTTGGCCACCCTAAGCTGGTTCATCTCCCAACTAGGGGAACAGGGGATGTCTCTCTATAAACTTCTCAAGAGGATAGATGCATTCGTCTGGTCAGAGGAGGCACAATAGGCTTTGGAAAGCCTCAAAGCATCATTGACACCGGCCCCAATCCTCATCGCTCCCGAACAGAGAGAACCCCTCCTTCTCTACATCGCGGCAAACAACCACGTTGTGAGTGTCGCCCTCGTCGTCGAAAGGGAGGAGCCGGGATGCCCCCTGAAGGTTCAACGGCCGGTGTACTTCGTCGGTGAGGTACTCACCGATGCCAAGGCTCGATACCCCTAGGTGCAGAAGCTTCTGTATGCCGTTCTAATGACAACTCGGAAGCTCCTGCACCACTTCACCGACCATGAGGTCATGGTCGTCACCTCGTACCCGCTGGGAGACATCATTCGCAACCGCGATGCCGTGGGACGAATCTCCAAGTGGGCTCTCGAGCTCATGGGTCACGACATCAGGTATGTCCCTCGTACCTCTATCAAGTCTCAGGCTCTCGCCGACTTCGTCGCCGAATGGACGGAAGTCCAGCTCCTGACCCCGGACGTCACCCACGAGTACTGGACAATGTACTTTGATGGGTCGATTATGGTGCCCGGCTCAGGGGCTGGAGTGGTTCTGATCTCCTTGGATGGGAGAAGGCTCCACTATGTGATCCGTCTCCATTTTTTGGCCTCAAACAACACCACGGAATACGAGACCCTCATCAACGGACTGCGCATCACCATCTAGCTCGGCGCTACGCGGCTGTATGTCCGCGGTGACTCAGAGTTGGTCGTTGACCAAGTTATGAAGGAGTCCTCCTGCAAGAACCCTCTCATGGCAGCATATTGCCAGGAGGTGCGCAAGCTCGAGGACAAGTTCTGAGGGATCGAACTGCATCATGTCCCCCGAAAGGACAACGATGCCGCCGATTTCCTCGCAAAATTGGCTGCCAGGCGGGTTCCGTCTCTAGATGGGGTCTTCATCAATGATCTCCACGAGCCATCTGCCCGCATTCTAGAGGATCCGATCTAGACACACTCTGACACCAATCTAGCGCTTGGGGGCTCCGACCTCCCGACGCGCCCCAACCCCGACCAAGTGCTCGGGGGCTCTGACCTTGGCACCTCCATGATGACGTCGCCCGCCGACGTCACCGTGGTGGCACTCGATCAGGCTGACTAGAGAGCACCACTACTCGCCTACCTCCTTGAGGAGGTTCTCCCACCAGAAAGGACTAAAGCGCGATGAATCATTTGACGTTCAAGACGTTTGTCGCCATCGGTGACAAACTTTACAAGCAAAGTCTGTCGAGAATACTCATGAAGTGCATCCCGACCGACCAAGGGAAATAGCTCCTCCTCGAGGTCCATGCCAGAATCTATGGACATCACGTGGCCCCGAGGATGCTGGTCAGGAAAGCCTTTCGCCAAGGTTTTACTGGCCCACTGCGCTGCGAGATGCAAAGGAAGTTGTCCACAGGTGTGAAGGATGCCAGTTCTATGCTCAGCAAACTCATCTGCCAGCACACAAGCTTCAGACCATCCCCATCACCTGGCCATTCGCGGTCTAGGACCGCGACATGGTCGGACCCCTCAAAAAGGCCCCAGGCGACTTCACTCACCTGCTCGTAGCGTTGGACAAATTCACCAAGTGGATAGAGGCGAAGTCCATCACCAATATCCGCTCGTAAGAGGCGGTCAAGTTCTTCCTTGACATCATCTATCGGTTTGGTGTTCCAAACTATATCATCATCGACCATGGAACAAACTTCATCGAGAAAAAATTCCTAGACTTCTGTGATGGATACGGCATTAGGATCGATTGGGCCTCGGTCGAGCACCCGCGTACCAACGGTCAGGTAGAGCGGGCCAATGGCATGGTCCTCCAAGGACTCATGCCCCGCATCTTCGACCAACTCAAGAAGTATGTTGGGCGATGGGTTGCAGAGGTTCCAGCGATCCTCTGGAGCCTAAGAACGATGTTGAACCGGTCCACATTGTTCACTCCTTTCTTCCTCGCATACGGAGCCGAAGCAGTATTGCCCTCCGACCTTGATCACGGCGCCCCGAGAGTAAAGGCCTTCGACCAAGATCGAGACGCGGAGGCTCAGCAGGATGCGGTCGACCTGCTCTAGGAGGCTCGTGAGACGACCGTTATCCACTCCGCTCATTACCAGCAAACTCTCCGCAGATACCATGAAAGAAAAATCAGGGGGAGGATCCTCGAGGTCGGTGACCTTATACTCCGAAGGACCCAGTCAACCAAAGAGAAACATAAACTCTCTCCACCATGGGAAGGACCCTACACGATGACCGATGTGATTCGGCCGGGCGCCTATCGGCTGAAGGATGACAACGGCAACGTTCTCACCAACACGTGGAACATCAAACAGTTATGTCATTTCTTCCCTTAAAACTCGGTCTTGCCATTCTCTTCCCATTCAACGTTTGCTCCTACAGCACCCCAACCCGAGCACTCTCGGCCTGGGTCTCTCGGGGGCTCCATAGGGGTGCGATACCACCCTCCTCTTTTACTATCATATAGTAATACTTTTCACCCAAACGAAAGGGCATCGCCCGAACAAAAGGGCATTCCGTTCCTTTGATTACCCTATGTAACTTGTGTTTTAACCTCCTGACCGATCACACCCCGCCATGACCTACGGTTACGAGCAGCTGAGCCTCGCGGGCCACGCCCGAGTTCTTAAGGTTGCAGCCTACGGGTCAACGGGCAGGTGCAAAAAAGAAAGGACAAAAAACAAAGCTACGCTAGGGTAAAAACAATGGCGGATGGGACAAGCTTTCCCTCACGAGTGATTTCATTCACAAAATGAACTTAGAATATTCACAAATATAAAGTTGTTCACACGGGGGCTCCCCCACAAACTCATCTCTTACATGAACTGACTATTTCTATTCTAAACTCTATTGTGGCCTCCCGGCGGCATCGACTGTCGGTACGGTCGACAAGGACGAAGGCAGCTCGCTTCTGGTCGGGATGACGTTTGGCTCTGTTGGGGGCAGGACGACACTCGCCTTCGACCCGGTCTCCACTCTCACCATAGGATGGATGACATCTTCTCGGCGCATGTCTTCAACCATGGACGAACGGCGAGCTTCCATCA